TAATATGAGAAGATAAAGAGCTAACAGTTAATTTTAAAAGTTTCTTTTTAAGATATACTAATTTGAATATTTCGCTAAATAATATAATTTTGTATATTGAAGCATATTCATTTTAGTAGTATTATAAAACAAGAAAAAACGTTAACTTCGGCTGTACCGAAGCTAATACTATATCTTTCACAGGTGCATTTTTTTTAGTAACTATGTGTTCAGTTTATATGAAAGCTATATGCTATCGTAATCCGATCTGAACAATTTTTGCGGAGATTATATTATTACCTTAAGCAGTAATCCATATCAAATTTTGTGAAGATACCACGTCAAATGCGAAAGTTTTCCATACAAGCCCTTCACTCCGATCGTTCGGTTTGTATGGCAGCTATATGTTATAGTAAGCCGATCTGAGCACTTTCTTCGGAGATTACATTGTTGCCTTAGGAAATAACCTATACCAAATTTCTTGAATATATCTGGTCAAATGCAAAAGTTTTCCATACAAGAACTTTTTTCCGATCGTTCAGTTTGTATGGCAGCTATATGCTATAGTTAACTGATCTGAACAATTTCTTCGGAGATTACATCGTGGCCCTAGAAAATAACCTATGCCAACTTTGGTGAAGATACATTGTCAAATGTGAAAGCTTTCCCTACAAGAACTTGATTGCGATCGTTTAGTTTGTATGGCAGCTATATGTTATAGTGGTCCGATATCGGCAGTTCCGACAAATGAGCAGCTTCTTGAAGAGAAAATGATATTTTCAAACTGAGGGACTAGTTTGTATATATACAGACAGACAGACGGATATGGCTAAATCAACTCAGCTCAACATACTGATCATTTAGATATATACTTTATAGGGTCTCCGACGCTTCCTTCTGGGTGTTACAAACTTCGTGACAAACTTAATATACCCTGTTCAGGGTATAAAAATTATCAATATTGTACTTTATGGCTCTTAGTGAAATAATTTTAAAATATTCTTACTTTGCTTCCTCAATTGTGGATATAGCCAAATCGTAGTTTTGTTCGTCCGCATGCACCAGTCCTGATTCCACACAGGCGTATGCCATCAAATATGTATCCTCTTTTACGTGACTTTCCAAGTTCATACATGCCTCAAGATCTCTTAAAAAGGAAACGGAATTATTTTTTTACACTAATTTTATGAATTTGTGGTTTTGATCTTACTGCAATGCACGGAATGGTTGTTTCATTTGTCGATAACAAGCGCCACGTAATAATAAACATAATGCTTGATTATCAAGTTCATAAGTATCATTTCTGTGCGCTAACTGTTTCATTTGGCGTTCAATTAAGCGGAAAATACTGTCAGAAAGCCGATAATTTTTACCAAGTACCTTGAATGTGTTCCAGACGAACATTAACTCAACAGCGGGAAGGCACAAATAATGATTTTGCGCAAAATATCGTGCCACTTTCTTACAAATAAACTTTTCCATTGGAAGTGATTTTCCAGCAATTCGTTGCTTATGCTTGGGTGCATCTTTCATTAGACGCTCAATGGTTTGCCGCCCAGTATCGTCAAGGTCATCGTTCATTAGCATTATGGCTGCTTGCTGATATGAATAAATTGTACGAGACCATTTGCTTTGTTCTACTAAGTAGCTGGCGTACAATCTCGCCTCATGCCAATCTAACTTCAAGCTGAAAATATGTAAGAGTATATACAGTGAATCAATAAAGTTTATATGCACCTAGTTCTACTAAATTCCGTCACGTTAATCTGTTTTAAAGTTAATAAATGTTGTTGTTTTTTTTCTATACATTTCAAAATATGAATATTTAACATTAAAAATAGCATATAAAATTTTTTAAGTTTACATACACTAATGATTATTTATAGGTTAGTAATTACAACAGTTGGAAATGATGTACATACTATATATACATTGCATCGGCGTCGCTCACTGGACGACGATTGCAGCACATTCAGCATTCAATTTATAGTGAATATCGATGTGGACAATACATGGATCGTACCATATTCGAAACTATTGTTTAATTTGAGTATTGCAATTTGGTGAAATATATCAAATACGTTTGCAAGTACGTCACCAAAGGACGGCCAGAAACCGCTATGGTCTTGAACGAGATGAGAGCAAGCAAGTATGAAATGAGTCGATGCGTGAACTGCAATAAAGCATTTTGTAAGATATTTACTTTTGCAATTCATAAACGTTTTCTGACTGTGTATTTCAACCCAGAGAATACAGTATAGCCAACGGAAACACTGTCAACAGCAGAATTGGCATTGATGAGTTTTTTCTCAACTTGCGTCAGTGATCCGTTTGCGAGAACATTGTTCTAAAAATGCCTTGATATTATAAATAGAATGCTTCGTGAAAGAAATGGTTACACAGAAATCAAGGCCAATCAGTAGATGGACATTCAGGTGTCTTCTCAACTAATGCATTAAGGCGAATTCATACAATCCTCTCGAAAAACGACGATGGCTTCTACCTTCGGTTGCTAATGGTTAGTGTACGCGGATCAATTTCATTTGAATCATTGCGTTTTATGAATAGTGTAGTGTGTACAATTTTTAGACGAGCATGCCAGCAAGTACAATTGCTGCAACATGATAATCACTGGAATCAAACGGTGGACGATGCGATAGCTACTTCGCATGCCACTGAAGTTCATATACTTTTCGCGATGATCATTTCGACACATCAGCCATCAAATCCGCATTAATTATGGGATACGAACAAAAATGACATTGCCGAAGACTTTTTACATCGGATTCGTTAAGAATTGGAAATGGACAAATTTCCGTAACTACGTGTCCTTTAGTGCACGTGCAATTTTAGCTGGAAGATTAAAAGTCATATTCCGCGAGGTTTGCGCTCATACAAATCAATCGATCGTCTTGTCAATGAAGACGAAGCTGTGAGGGCAATGTAATTTCTAAATTCTTTGGAGAGACTGGGAATACCGTCGTATCATCTGCATCAAAGATGGATCTGTCATTATTATGTTTCGCAGTCTTCATCCGCCTAAACTGTATAATGCAACCCAAATGATTGGGATGCTGCTATCGAATACAAGGTGTGTTCCAAAGTAAACACGACTTAAAACAAACAAAACAGAGCAAATGGTTTTTTGACAAAATCAATTTATTTTATTCAAAATAGTCTCCTTTTGCTTCAATACAGCTTTTTACACGGTCCAAAAGCATGTCGAACGAGTGTTTTAGCTCTTAGGCCGGTATGACCGCCAGTATGCCGGTGCAAGCCATTTGAGTGGCCTCTACGTCTGTATAACGCTTTCCTTTTATGGGCAAATGAGTTTTTCCGAAAAAGAAGAAGTCACATGGTGCCGTATCAGGTGAATACGGGGAGTATTTAATGGTTAAAATGAGATTTTTCTTCAAATAATCGGTCACAATCTTAGAATGGAATGTTGGATTCTGAACAATTTTTAGTCGTCAGACAATTTGTGCGGAAGAAACCGTGGACACACCTTTCGTAAGCCCAAATGTTTGGTTAAAATGCGATAAACCGATGTTTTGTAGCTGAGAGCTGCAACAATTTTCACCTTGCGCTGTGGCGCGCCGCATTTTCGCTCGTATCTCGGGAACGTTTCGTCCTACGGCTATGATCACATATACCATTTCGGTAGCAAATGACGTGACAAATAACGTTTGTTGTATAAATTTTGCCATGAGATGCGTATTTCAGGCGCTAGGTAGACAATTTCACGATTTTAGGCGAATTTCCGAAATTTCAAGGCCGGAGTTCGGTTGAAGATGCAATCCGATCTCAAAACAAAAAGTTGCATTAGAATCAGGAAGTACTAAGGCATCTTTCCGCACTATAAGAAATCCCGAATCGAAAAAAGTCCGGAATCGACCCACCCTATTACATACCTCACCTGCACTGGACCATGTTAAAAGTTGCACACTGCTTTTTTCGTGACTGTTCCGCTATTTGATTCGAAACTGCCTAGTTTCTCTCATAGATCTTTACTCATTTGGTGAATGTATTTCAAGATGTGAGACGCATTTTTATAAATTTTTATTTCGTGGATTTAATTTTTATTCGTGTTGTGTATATACATATGTATATATGAAAAAGTTCATAATTTTAATAATTAACAATTAAGTGTATAAAATTCAGTGTTCAAAGTGCCGCTTCAAACGCTTCTTTAAATATAAAATAGCGGGCGGTTACAAATGAGGCATCATTACAAATTCGTGGAAACGACGCCACTTTAAGGGGTTTGGTGGGTTTCAGAGGTCCAAAAAAGCTGGTTTTACGATTTTTTTTTTAATATAAGCAGTCAAATATTTAAGAAATAGAATATGTTATATAAAAGGTACATATTTTAACAATATCTCCTGAAATTTCGATACAAAAATGTTGGAAATTCAGCCGTTAAGACCTCACTTCCCTGAGTGTCTCACTCAAAAGTGCTCTCGCAATGGATAGCATAACTTATTATTGGTTCATGTAAAATTAAAAAACTAAGCATATTCCGTTGAATGTACATATCTAAATATCGTTTTTGTACGAAGAAAATAAAATTTTTTTTAAATTTTTTCCTTTTTTTCTCAGACTTTGAACAAAAAATCTAATTTTTTGGTCAAATTTTCGCCATGCATTGTAAAATTCAAAATTTCATGTTTTTATAGTTTTATATGATCCGATTGAGAAAATAACCAGTATGTCAGAAGTGGATAAGTTTATAAACTTCAGCGAAAAAGAGCAAACCACCAATCATGTGTTGGCAAGTGAATTACTGAATTTTAAATGTATATTGATTATTCGGTTAATTATAGAAACATTTATTATTTAGATATCTTCAATGATGACTAACATACAACAATCTAGCGCAATTGCAGAAGCTGCCTCAAACTGAGAGGAGGATTGCTGCAGCTACATACATAATTTCCTCTTCGAAGATATTAATTATTTTAAATAAGGTATGTTTATGATTTTATATAAAAAAAACTGTATTATAATGTATAAAAATCGATGAAAATAAAATGTTAAATTTCAGTAATTTTTACAGTAACTGTTTTTACACCTCCTGATTTTTCGATTACTGACTCTATGGTATTAACGCTGCCAGTCAAACGGTAACATTTTTTTCTGTACAATGTACTATATCTATTTTAAAGAGTATTTTCTAAATTAACAGAGAAATTAGGAGACATTTTTGATTTAAAAAATTGTTTAGTTATTGCTCTTTTGTCAAACGATATGTAAGAAAAATGTTGTCAAAAAAGGGAACATTAAACAAATTTTACTAACCAGTTTACCCACAATAACTCCCAAAAACTCAGATGATGGAATTGTGTCCAGACGTTTTGTGATTTCCATGATTTTTTGTACCAATACTGCGCTTCATCCAGATTACCCTTCATGAATTCTAGTCGACCCTTAAAGAAGAGAAACCACACACCTTGAGGATACAATAGTAATTGCTCCTCTAGGATGTTATGGCACAGTTCTAAATCACCTCCTTGATGACTTATAACATAGCAAACTATCAGATGATAGCCAAGCAAAGTCATGGCGCAGAGCACCTGACGTAGACCGGATAAATGATAGCCAGTTTTGAGATCAGTTAGACCAGCACTCTAAAATAAAAAAACTACTTAAAAGAAAGATAGGGGTTGATTGATATACTACGTGCTACCTTATTTCCAGAGAATCCTATGAACTGCAAGATTTTTATAACACCTGAAGGCAGTAGAGAAATCATTAAATTAAAGGTGCCAACACCCATACGTACACCGCTTTCGAAATGTAGTTTGGACACATCTGATTCCCACTGTCTTTGCACAAGTATTTGAGCGCATCCCCTTAAAAAAAAGATCAGTAAATTTAATATATTCGTATGTAAGTAATACTAGAACGTACTTGTAGCTACTGTAACAATGACGTATTTTCATACCTCCGCGTATCAAACTTGTTAAAGCCTCGTCCTCAATAAATGTGAGTAGAGCTCGCAAGAGCAACGCCTCTGCATAACATAATTCAGCATGCGCCTCCAAATCAGTGAGTTGCGTGTAATTTGTCTGTGTAGAATGCCAATGTATGTAATAACATAGTTTATAATAATTTTGCATATTGGGTAGCGACAGAAGCAACCAGTGTGATAAGGTAAACAATTTGAAAACTGTTTTTTTGACATATTAACAACACATAGTACTAAATGATGTCCTCAATGTCATTAAAACACCGGTTAATTAAAAAATGCTGTGTTAACCTGACCGGGAAAATAAGAAATCAGTTCCAACGGATTTGATATTTAAAAAATTGATGAATTGCTTCGAAAACGTTCATTTTGTGGTGTACAAATGTCACTTTCACGATTTTAGTTGTATTTATTCCAAAGGCTTTATTTCTTTTCATCTGCTCACAGGTACTTCTGGGGTCACCGCTACATACTAAAATCGTGTGCGGCTTACATACCCTGTTAAATTTCCTCCCGATGGACTGTGTAAAAGTGTTTTTGTGCATATAACGTTGGCAAACACTTAAGCACTTTTTCAGCTCATCTCCAGCTCTGACAATGTGTCGCTGTTCAAATGTTAATATTGCTTCCAGGAATATAAATACAGCATTGCCCATTGAATGGTACATACTGACATGCGCGTATGGTTGCAATAAAATGCGAGCTTCATCAAATTTATTATTAAAGAAATAACAAATGGCCAACTTAGCTTCCTCCAGAGCATTATTTAAATCCATTTCAAAGTTCCTATATAATATGCGTTGAAATTTGCAATAAATAAAAAAAAGTGGCGTTATATATAATAGCATATAAACATAAATTATCGTATATTAGTACTAGACTGCCTAAGCAAGTCATTTTGACTTCTTTCGAATTTCAATTAAAAAAATAGTGTTTTAAATAATGACATAGCTTCTAATAATTTTGTGACTTTTTCTACAACATATAAATGGATTAATTAACCATTGTTTTTGCCCCCTTCTTCACTTCTAATGTATGTATATACACATGTATGCATATACGCAAAAAATTTAAAAAGAAAAAAATTAAAAACTTTGATTCTGCTTGTGGATTATTTTTATTTGGTCTTTTACATTTTTTAACATCAAGTGGCCGCCACCACAGTTGATTGTCATGTTTTTATGGCATTTGGATGGCTTGAGCGTATGTTAGACGCGATTGGCGGTCAGCAGCTAACAGCTGATGCACCGTCTAGACTTTGTAAGGAAACATCTTCAAATCTTTTACCAAAATTCCCTGTAAACACCGTCGATGATTTGCGTGGCACGTCGTCTGGTAGATGTCGACGGCGCTTCCAAGACATTCTCGGCAACAGCAGCAATATTCTCTGCTGCATGGCTACTCCGGGGTCTGCCACACCTGACAGCATCTCGAGTTGTGCCAGTCTCTTCGAGGCGAGTGGCTAAACGTCGCAGTGTTTCATCAGTGACGTCGGTCGGCCAGGAAATCTGCGACGAAATACACATTGTGCCAAAGTCACCGACCGATTATTGGACAAATAAAGAAATCTGGAGAAATGTAGCATACCATTGCTTATACACGTGCATTTCGCATGTGTTTACTACACAAATGTCAAAACAGCAGAGCAGACATTAGAAGTCAATTGCAAAATTTATAACATCTTCTGATAGGAGGATTATGTTTGCGCCACCCGATCCCGTCCGTCTTTCTAGTGTTAGTTATTAACCGAAAAAAAATGTATTGGTCAATATGCTAGTTTCCTACTTGCTTTTTCTATTGGTTATTTTTATATATAGTACTATTGATTACAAAAATTACTTTAATCTAAAATGTCAACCTATACCACATTTGGTTGATTCCCGGAAGTTATACTTTCATGCAGTGTGCTTTTTGCATGACTCTGTTCGGATCACATATTTTTATACTCTTGTAACCAGTTGCTACAGAGTGTTATAGTTTTGTTCACTTAACTGTTGTACCTATTACCTGAAACTAATCGAGATAGATATAGGATTATATATAATGACTGTCTGTCTGTCTGTCCATCCGTCCAAACTGTACCTTGAGTAAAAATTGAAATAAATTCGATCGATGAAACTTTATATGTGGGTTCCTTAGTGCAAAAAAAAAGTTCGAGTTCGTAAATGGGTGTAATCGGAATAATGGCACTCGTTTTTAACTTCGTATTGCTTTAACTCTTCATATGCCTTCCGTGTTAGCCAGCCCAAAATATTTTCATTTACGTTAAAATCTGGAGAATATGGTGGTCAGGATATTATCGTTTTGACTCGAAATAAACGACTTTACTGCTCGAGCGATATGAATAGGGGCATTGTCTTCTTGAAAAATCCAAAGAATTAGTCGAAAGAGATCACTTAATTTTGGAAATAGCGACTCCAACATTGTTTTGATGCGATCGACGTTCATCTTCTGATGGATAAAAATCGATTAAATTGTTTCATAAAACGTGATGGCATCCCACACCATGACTACACCAATTCGGCTGTGGGGCGACTTAAATATAGCTCATCTTGGGAGTGAAAATAGTATTGAAGGCCATCAGGGCCATCTAAAATGATACGTTTTTCTTCAGTAAAAACAACTGAACGTTAATTATTAAGTCGAGTGTCAGATTGAACAGTCCACGTCTTGTATTCTATCGCGAAACGAAGCCGTTTTTCTTTCCGTTGTTCATTCACATTTTGGATTTTTAGACGCATTAGGTGTTCTGCATTTCTGATTGTATACTGAAGACTTGAAAAGTTGGCTTTTACTCCAGCTGATGCTTTAATGTTTAGTTGAATTTGAAGCAATTCTAAATATTTTGAGTACTGATTATTCAGATAGTTTGGTAATGTTTTGATTACGTAGTCCTTGGGAGTGAAACAGTCTACTATTGCACGTTCCAATAACCTCAGAATAGTTTAGTATATTATTTATAGTAGAGACTATACTTTTTATTTTTAAATTTACACTTTTATTTTTAAATTTAAAACAATTTATTTGATTATTTTTAGTACTTTCTTAATAAAAAAAACTGCACTTGTTTACGCAAGACAAAGAAATGTAAAGTGCGCCTATTTAAATGACCAACTAAAAACGTACGTGATTGATATAGACATTTCCGGAATCTTCCAATGTACAGTTAGTTTTTCGCAAATCACCCAACTATGAGCAAATATTTTTCGGACAAGATTCGATATTTGATAAATAATACATTTTGAACAATAAGAACCAGCATGAATATGAGGTGTGTTCAAAAAGTAACCGGAATCTTGAATTTTCGCGGGTTACGTATTCGAATTTCGAATTTTTTGTGGCGTTAAGCCACGACAAGCTCGGACATTTTTAATGTTCATTTAATTGTTGACAGCTGCTTTGCTTGCACGTGTTTTGGATCGTCTTCGATTTTTACCTATTCAAAAAATGCATCAAAGATGTTGTATCAAATTTTGTGTGAAAACACGAAATTAAGTGCGCGGATGCATTCCGAACGTTGACTGTGGCATACGGAGAAGCTACCTTGAACCGAAGCAACGTTTATCGGTGGAACAAAATGTTCTCGGAAGGACGAGAAGGTGTGACAAAAATTGGATTTTGCACCACGATAACGCCCCTGCTCACACATTGTTGCTTGTGCGCGACTTTTTGGCCAAAAACAACACACTAATGATGTCGCAGCCACCGTATTTCCCAGATCTGGCTCCCTGTGACTTTTTCTTGTTCCCTAAACTGAAGTGGCCCATGAAAGGACGACGTTACGCTTCTCTTGACGAGATAAAGACGGCATCGAAGGAGGAGCTGAAGAAGATAAAAAAAAATTATTTTTTGAAGTGCTTCGAAGATTGGAAAAACCGTTGGCACAAGTGTATAATATCTCATGGGGATTACTTTGAAGGGGACAAAATAGCTATTCATGAATAAATAAATAATTTTTGAAAAACACAAAATTCGCGATACTTTTTGAACACATCTCCTATAAATATGACAAAATAATTAAAAAAAAAAACGTTGGTGCGTCTAACCTAAGACCAGCAGTGTATTTAACTGAAATTAAGGGATAAACCTTCTTTTATAATGGTATGTCTGTATGTCAAATATGGGTTGAATCGGACCAATACTTCCCATAGCACTCATATACTTAATATAAAGATTTTCAAACTTCGCGGTGACTTTGTACCGCATATATCAGAGCATGTTTTGTTCATAGCAGTATATCTTTGTGCCAAAAATAGAAAAATTTTAGCTAAAACTCCATATGATTGGTTTTACATATTAAAATAATTCTAAGAGTATAAAATGTCGATTGCATCCGAACTTAGTATTTCCTTACTTGTTTCTGAATATCATATTATTTGGTTGGTTAATCAAAATAAAGTTCAGCCGAAGACGGATGAAAAGTTAGAAAAAACTAAACAAATATTATGTAGTAAGTTGCACTTATAGTGTATCTGCCGCTGTACAGGGTAACAAATTTTAACCCCTTCTAAATGGCATATTTCATAACAACTTTCTGACGTAGGAAATGCAAACAGTGGTCAAATAAAAAACTAACTTCGGCAAACGACAGACACACAAAGGGATAGTTTCTAAAACTGGAATATAATGGCAAAACTTCCCGATCAAAAGTGAAACCAACACATACTTTTCTTTTACAAATTATTTATCAAGAAATACCCTCGGAAAACAAAAAGATAAAGGTGAATATTAAAAATGAACAATGCTATGCATAGCACCACCCCTTGACAACACTGCACTTTTCGGCACACCACACCAAAACAGCCAACTCACGAGAACACCACACACCAATACACATAACCCCGCATCCACAACCTATCATCTAATTAACCATACAATCTACGCATAGTCACCACCCAGCAGACCTTAAAAGGATCAACTCGATCGGAAAACGGTCCTTTTTGCGATTCCCATTCGTACAGCGAAAACGTTCTTCCGCGGTCCATAGCAGCATAGCTTTGTCCGTCACGTGAAATGAAGTGGAAATAACCGAAAAAATTTTGGAAAATCTTATATAATCAAACGAATAAAGTGTATTTGAAATTAAATAAAATAAAAAATGTTTGAAAATGTGAAATTATAAGGGGAAAAAGTTAATTGTGGAATATAATTAAGTAAGAAAACATATGGTCTTTCGAGCCGTTTTGAAAGGCATCTACGGTAAAACTAAAATAAAAAATGAAAATGGTCGAAATGTATTTATACATTTAATTACTGTATAAAATAAAATAAAATTAAATTCCAATAATAAAAAAAGACAAAAAAGGAAACAAAATTTTATTTAAATAAAACAAATACAAAATTACAACGCTAGTGAGGAAATATACTATATGCATACACAGAGAGGAGGGATAAAAAAACAATGGGCGCGAAAATAGAGAAGACTTATTAGTACAAAAGAAAACAAGTACAATTCAAAGCCGTTCGCTAATTAATACAAAACAGAAAAAAAAACTCTCAAACACATAAGGAACAGATCTCGCCACAACAAACATTGAGGAAGAAGCTCAACAATCTCGGAGGCAAAAGAAAGTCGCTTATCAAACTGTTCTAAAACATTATTAAAATAATCATAATGGCTAATAATCGTAATGATAATAACATTGCTCATAAAGCAGAAAGCAAGATCGCTTAAAAAGCTAAGCAAAGGAAATAAAAAAAAAACAAGAGCCGATTAACCAAATAAAAAAACGAAATATTTTTTTTCATGTAGCTATTTTTACTTGTATGATTGCAAATTTTCGATCACGTATATACCGCCACAAAATTTACTTTCGCTGTTTCAATTCATTTTTATACACAGATTATAATACATACACATAGCCAATAAAGCCTGCGTGTACCACATATTTTTAAGCGCAATAAAAACAAAATGTAAATGAGCAATCCCCAAAAATGTATATTCGTACTTTCAGTACCAATACAACCAACTCACGAGAACATCACACACCAATACACATAAAACCGAATCCACAACGCATCACTCAACTCGATCGAAAAACGGTATTTTTTTCAATCCCCATTAGTACAGCGAAAACGTACTTCAACGCAGTTTTGTCCGCTACATGTTCCCTCCAATGAAGTAAAATGGAAACAACAGAAAAAAGTGTGGAAAATTTAGATAATCAAATAAAAAAGGGTATTTGAAATTATATAAAATAAAAAATTCTTGAAAAGTGAAATTATTACTGAAACCTATATCCTTATGTTGAATGTTTAAAAGATAAAAATAAATAGTATGCAAAGAGGGAGAAAATTTAATTGTGGAATATATAATATAATGAGTAAACAAGGATTAACCAAATATTTTATATTTTCGCTACTTGTAAGGATGAAAGCCGGGAAGTACTTTCAAGTAGTGTAAAAATAAAAATGTTGCGTTAAAATTCAACATTCATTATTCGAAAAACAAATATTTGAGACCTTATTAACTTATTTTATATGTCATAAACTCACTAAATTTCATATGTGCTTTTATTATTTGCTTTTACTTTCATCTGTGAAACCCATCGAAGAAACCATTATTCCCAAACAATCTAGTGTTCTCATATACGTTCATAAAATAGACACACACTGACTCACACGTCATAACCGTTTCCGGTTAGTTGTGTGGAACAAATTTTGTATGCTGCGAGTTATTTTTCTAAATTTTATGCAGTGAATAAATTTATTACTATTTTTAAGTTTCCGAAAATAAAATAGAAGATTTTTCCTTTAATTTGATGTATCATATGTATCATTCTTAAGATTTTTACTTTATGGTTGGAGGGTGTCATCATTGGCAATGCACGCATCCGGTTAGACGTGTGAGTTACTGTATATTACGTACAAACATTCTTCGTATATATACAATAAACATCAATAATCAAGTAAATATTAATAGAACCTGAGAAATTGGAATCGTACTTAAAGTCATCTGGTTCACTGCTGGCATCGAAGAACTGTGGATAAGATAGCATAAATTAAATAAAATTTTTATTTTAAAAGGCTGGAATATCAGTAGAGGATATGTGATAAAGATAACACTCACACGTAATGATATGTAAAAGTATTGAAAAGATAAATACTTTATGAAAATGCACTATAATACTATAAATGAGAGGATATAGCACAAATCCTAGCGAAAATTTCATTAGTTCAAAATTGGCTGTATTGGCGTTTTTTTAACATTGCGATGTCTAAAAATATTTCTATTCTCAAATTTTTTTTATGATTTTAATAGCGCTGTTTAAACATTATAGGGCATGTTCGGCTAGGACGTTGTGGCCCTATTCCTGTTGTCGTTTCTAAGTTTTTGCATTGTTATTGTTTCGTCCCTAAATTCGTACTCCTCAAATACATCGCAACGTCAAAAAAATAGTAACGCCCAATAGCTCCATTGTATCTGAAGTTATTATTTGTTGTTCTGCAGAATTAATGTAACCATTTTGTGTATTTAAGGAATAAACAAAATGTTTTTTTTTATATTTATTTATTGGGTGCATAACAGTTAAATAAATTATTGAAATGACACGTAAAAATGGTACTGTACGATGTTCACGATTGCCGCCGCAATTTTAATCTAAAACAAAAATTTCAGAAAAATACTTAATCTGTAGATAAGTCACTGTCGCGCTATTTTTTTGAAATTTGACAACATGGCGGCGGTTTGAACAAAATGTATCGAATATCTTTTTCGACAGTTATTTGTACAAAAAATAAGAAGATTTAAAAAAAAAAATGATTTTATAGCGCCATAGCGAATGACGTTAAAAATTCTCTAAATTGCACCTAGATATCTTCAATACTCTTTCTTGGAGAGTGGAAACTGTTTTGAAAAACACCATTTTGAGAAAAACGCGTTTAAAGATTAGGGTTGTAGTGTTCCCCAGTCTGTTCTTTTTGTACCAGAAACCTTGTAGCGATTTAAAAATTTTAGAGAATGTTTATTACAGCGTATACTGTCCGAAAATGCAACAAAACAAAAATAGATTTTTAAGAAATTTCACTCTTTTGAGACGATCTCTTAAGTTTAATAAGACAATAATAATAATAAGCGTAGGAGTTCTTCGGATCGTTTTAAAACAACAACGGCAACGGGAATGGGGCCGATTATGAATATGTGATATAGGAAAACTATAAAAACTTTATGGAAATCCAAAGGGACCGAGAAGCACGTTATGAGAAACACACACTAAATAGTCCTTAGTACCTTAGTCCAGCTTGTGCACTTTTGCCACTCAGTTTGAACTCAGGTGAACTCATCAACCGCTTCTTCAGGTACGTATCTTCGTACATACAGAAATAAAAAGAAGTCATTCGCAGCCAAGTGACTACTAAATGATGGATGACTCTGCTTTGGGCGGTTGGTTTTCAAAATTTCTTGAAAAACAACTGGCAAACAAATTGTTGTGTACCACTCAGAGTTTACTATTTTGCTTTGTTCTAGTGATATGTTTACGACATATCCAGTTCTCACAAAAAAAAGGCAATCAATTGCTTTGTGAATGTTGTTTCCGGTTCAATTTGTAACATCCATATAGTCTACCGCTGTTTTTTTTTTCGCCTCATACATATAAATCCGGAATTAGTCACCTGTACTGATGCCATAGACGTGCTTCAAAGCACTTTATTGTATTCTATTTTTTAAGATTTCACTCGACCAATCGACCCGAACCGAAAAAATGTGTCAGATCCAACGTGAACAAATTTTTTTACAGTAAATTGTTTATGCAACATTGAATATACGCTAGTCCCACCAATGCCTAAAATTGTCTCAATTTCACGATAGGACAGATGACCACAATATCATTTTGCGCACACTTCCTTTACGAAATTCGTTTTGGAGAGATCTATAATCTCGATTAGATTAACCATACCATCGATAAACAATGGTCCTTAATGGAGCTTCAACTCCTAAAATTTAATTAAATTGTAATGAGTTAGTAATGTTGCTGAGTAAGTTCACGTCGAAAACTTTAAAATATAGTCGTAAGCGAAAATTATCTCAATTTAGTTTCATTTTTTGGCCGGGATGAATATTTTAATTTGCTATATACAACACAAACAGCGTTGGTGAGCGAATGTGAGTCAAACGTAAAAATTTGTGAGTTGCCATATTGCAACACTAGGGTTGTCAAATTCCAAAATATTAAAGGCAATGTATACGTATCTTCCTCTTTTGGCGTAGACAACGCTTTCGCGAAACAGCAGCAGCTGCAAGTGACTGATTCTTGGTGTTCTTATCCGTGCGTGCTGCTAATACTCAAGACTATTCTCTTTTGTCCCCTGATGCTGTAGAAGCTATCAAGCCAATTTCTGAAGATATCAATGAAGATCAAATATCTGTTAAGTCAAGTCGAAACATCCTTTAAGTGGTTGCATGGCTTTCAAAAAATCGATTTTTTTATTGTCAAAATCCATTTTTCAGTTTTTTTTTATCCTTCATACGCGCGCTCAAATTTCTTCGGAGAGGTCACCGGAAATGGCTTCGCAATGGCTGGGTTTAAAATATTTTTTTTCCCCCAAAAATTTCAGAATGTCTCTGTTAATAGTGTATGTTTGTAACAACAAAAAATTCTAATAAAATATTTCATTTTTTATATGAGAAAAAGTGTTTGAAAAAAGGCTGTTTTTTACGCAAAGGAAACCCTTGTATGAATAAGAAAACTAGTACCACACATTACAATTGTGGTTGTAGTCAAAGAGTTTCAACAAATAACTTTAACTAGATTGATGAATGCCCTTAACATATTTGAGTGAAAGGTAGCAACACATGCATGAAACTTTCTGAAATTTATTTTAGTCAACGCAAATATGTACCTCATTTTCCTCTTCATCTTCAACATTTTCGTCCACAGCATCCGCTCTGCTTGAATTTGTACTCTCGCTACTTAACATAGATTGAGAAAAAACAGTGTCAGATGAGAACTGCGACATTTGCACATATTTTCTCCGAGTGGGCAACATTTCAGATCTAAAGGGAAGGCAAAGATAATAAAGTAAGAGTGGTGTTATTACCTAATATATGTACATAGCTTTAATCAGTTATACTATATATACTTATTTACTTTGATCATTGAAAGTTTTGAAAAAAAAATATACTGAGCGGCCGCAAATAAAATGTCCAAGACGACCATGAACATCAACTGCTGATCAACACGCCAATAAAATGAATGAATTTCTACTTGACCAAGGATGTCATGAAACGAATTACTACTGGATCTATGTTTACGACTTGGAAACAAACGATCAATCGGCCGAATATCAAGACAAAGGTGAGCCAAAGCCGATAAACATATGTTAAATAAGGTAAAAAATAAAGGTTATGTTTCCTTCCGACCGGCTAAACTAATGCTATTTCAGTGTTGTGCGACAACTCTTGGTTTTTGCACCACGATAATGCACTGTCGAACACTGCATTGATTTTTCGTGAATTTTTCGCCGAACTTTTAACCAATATCTTTTTGCAACCACGTATTTGCCTTATTTTGCTCCGCGTGACTTCTGGCTCTTCAGCAAACTTAAATGACCACTTCAAGGAAACCGCTTTGTGTCAATTTAAAACAATAGCAGGAGCTCATTATTCAATAAAATATATACCTGAAAATATTGTAGCCATAAGAACAATTATACTCGTATATAGAAAATTATAGTTTTGAGACATGTACATTAAATAAAAAGCATACAATTTATTAAATAGAATTGTTAAAGTAGATTATGCTCAAAAAATGTGAAAATCATTGCTTATCAAAAAAAGGCAAAAATATATAGAATAGTATACTAAAATTAGACCTATATTGTAAAACAATATACAAAACATGCCTACAAAAAAATTTGAATAAGCAATTGTAAAATAGCCTTTTATTGGTGTATGAGGTGTGCAATACGCAAATAAACACATACAAAATGACCAGGATGGAGAGACGAGTTGAAATCCGGTTGATCGACTGCGTATTCGTCCGACGGCCCGTGCAAGCTCTAAATGGACTAAAAATTTAGATAAATGATGAAACTTGGTATACCCATTCCTTTGCACAAAAAAAAAAAAACAATAAAAAAATAAATAAATAAATAAAATACGGGAAGGGCGTAACCAGAGATATGCGGATGCAATCGAAGTACGAAAGGATTTCGGAATGTTCTTCTCTCAGACCCATAATGTCTGCTTGCAATGTGTCGTATGTGCAGAATGGCATTAACTGCCATCGTTAGTTTTGTACGTAGTGGAGGACTAATGCCAATGAGAGCCGCTCGTTGAACACGTTCCAACAGTTTAGCAAGTGTGACTTTACCGAGCGCCCATCACCACACAAATACTACATAGTATTGGCTTAACTATGGTTTCATAAAGACAAACCACAACTGTTGATGTGAGACACCACCGCTTCCCAACAGCTCCTTTTCTTCAACATAGGGTAATCAATGCCTTCTTTCTTAGTGCACGCGCAATACTACATTCCACCGCTACAATTTTTAATTGGAGTATTAATGTCGAGAAATGTCTTATGGCTCCCTCCAGCCATAAGATAACAACGTGCAGAGTAGTGTCTACCGACCTACCTTTAAAGTATGCATATCGAGCGTACAGGTATGATGATCCTGACGTACAGGGCCATAAGCCTCTATTCAAAAGAAACGAGAAGAGGATAATAGGCCTGAAATCCTTGACATTAATACGCCTCTAAGCGCCCTGAAAATGTAGCATAATCTAACAGAGTTTGCGTAGATGGGGGTCAACCAGCTCTATGAAGTTGCGTAGGTATGATGCCAACAGTCCCGGTGATTGAAGTGAATTTAAGGCCCATTTGAAATGGCATTCGTCTAGAAGATCTAAGAAGACTGTACCACGATTCTGAAGCCCTCAAGGGTACACTTTCTGTGTGTATTAATGCATTGGAAAGTGAACGCCTAGGAATATTTTTAACGACTTCTCAACGCTCAAAGTTCAGTCACCATCCTTATTTCTAAGATAATCTTTGGAAGTATTAGTAAGTATTTGGAAGTATTTGTCACAGATCACGGAAAGATCTCCTTGAAACTCTATCGGACTTCTTTATTTCTATTTGTATATAGCATGCCGTGCATTATACAGCGCCCATTCGCTAATAGGAATTAATTTTCTTATAACATTTATGTGTTTTCTTCATATTTTCCTAACGGTGAGTGCGTGGAAAATCAAATTTCAAATATGGAAAAGTTCAAAACGTACAAGTACTGTGACATAAAAAGCGAAATAAAAAAAAAACGTCTTTCTTGGTTTTATTAAATTGTCTTTGGCTAAATGAGCCTCAGTCAACTGCCCCTTACAACTTGTCACCCGCAAACGCCATATTAACAGCGAACACACATCATTCACAACCTTTACATATAAATAACTAACATTCTACATTTACCACATTAAAATATACATTCACCACACTCACCTCGACATCACCTACAACCCACATCCTACACCAACTATGATACCACTGCATTATACACCACAACAAAAAAGAAATAAAAGGAGCGGAAAAAGAAGATCGTCGTTCTTTTTCGCGATACGCGGTCGAAGGAAGCTGTGTTCTGCTCATCCCGTGTATTATCTTTGGTACATATTTTTACGAACATTTTTTTTTTAAACAGGACAAATTTTTTATAACAATTCTTGAGGAATTTCATGTTTTTTCGCATTTTCCTAACGGTGCGTGCGTAGAAATTCAAATTTCAAACACGGTCTTTCGAGCCTTCGAGTAGTTCCTGAGATATGGTTTTTGGTCCATAAGTGGGCGTCGCCACGCCCATTTTCAATTTTTAAAAAAAGCAGCTTCCTTCTGCCATTTCTTCCGTAAAATTGAGTGTTTTTGACGTTTTTCGTTAGGCGGTTAACACACTTTTAGTGATTTTCAACATAACCTTTGTATGGGAGGTGGGTTTGGTTATTATCCGATTTCTTCCATTTTTGAGATGTATATGAAAATGCCTGAAGGAAACGACTCTATAGAGTTTGGTTGACATAGCTGTAGCAGTTTCCGAGATATATACAAAAAACTTAGTAGGGGGCGGGGCCACGCCCACTTTTCCAAAAAATTACGGCCAAATATGCCCCTCCCTAATGCGATCCTTTTTGCCAAATTTCACTTTAATATCTTTATTTATGGCTTAGTTATGACACTTTATAGGTTTTCGGTTTTCGCCATTTTGTGGTTGTGGCAGTGGGCCGATTTCGCCCATCTTCGAACTTAACCTTCTTATGGAGGCAAGAAATAYGAGTACCAAGTTTCATCATGATATCTCAATTTTTACTCAAGTTACAGCTTGCACGGAYGGACGGACAGACGGACAGRCAGACATCCGGATTTCAACTCTACTCGTCACCCTGATCAYTTTGGTATATATAACCCTATATCTGACTCTTTTAGTTTTAGGACTTACAAACAACCGTTATGTGAACAAAACTATAATACTCTCTTTAGCAACWTTGTTGCGAGAGTATAAAAACAAATTTACAATTTTAAAGCGTACAAGTGCTGTGACATAAAAAGCGCAATAAAAAGCATAAAACACAAATAAGAGACAGTGCAGTGTAAAGTTTAATGCATTACAGTAAAAAAAAATTAAATATATGTACAGGTATAGACAAAATTCAGCTATAAAAAAAAAACAATATACATATACATATTTATGCCTTGTTATTATGATGTTTATTGTGTTTTTATTGGCCGATCGTGCCCGAATTATGTTTAGTGTTTCGATTTATATTGCGGTGCACACAGACAAAAGACAGCATTACAAGCCACACACTTATTTTCTCCCGAAACCCCCTTGAGGCCAGATAAAGTAAGAATATCGTTTTCATTTCCCCGCAGCCGTGAGAAAGTTGAATTTATATTGTGTTGAAAATCATTTATTTTCGATTTTTCTACCTTTTTTTTCAATGTAACGCAACCTGATAAACAACATTTTTTTGTTTCTGTTCTGGTGCGTAAATGTACAGAGAAGATGTTTTCCCATTCGTGAACACGCCACGTATGTATAGCCGTGTGAAAAACAAAGCATTTCCAGACTTATGCCACACTCTTCTATCGACTATCCTTGTGACATACGGATTTATATTTGATTGGACAGGTACAAAGCGAGAAAAATTTATATATTATTATTTATCGTCAATATAAATTTATTTTTTTTGATTGCCTATTTGCAAAACACATGACAAACAAATAAAACCAGAAATTAAATTCAAGTATCCACTTGCAAGATTTTCCGCAATACCCCCTCTGTTTCTCAAAACAGTAAGCAGTATACTTAAATAAAGAAGCAAGAGGCACAATAAAACGACGAGAAAAGGAATAAAAGAGATAATAGATTCAAACATACATACATACAAATCAACTAATAATAACTCCGTATTATATTATACGAAGTTACATATTTAATAATATTTTGCATTGGTGAAATGATTATGTCCGTACAGGGAGACTTGTATGGGTCGTATCGTATGAGCGGATTGCCTTCTCTATTTTATTCTCCGTAAAAATCTGTTGGAAACGTATACCACACTGCTCCTTTCCATGGTCCTGAACTAAAGCCACGGCGTAGTTGCCCTACTCTAAATTGAGAAGTAGTTCGCTGATAGATTTTCTAGTCCAAGCCAGCCATTTCACCTCCTCTTCCGTCAGACTGGACTTGCCCTCGAGAAACTCCAAATTTGCTTTCAACCCCTCCTAGCTTGGCTTCTTCCGGGGACCTTTCTTATCGTCAGAGTTGAAACCCTCAGTCGCCTGAACAGAAGAGCGAATAAGCTATTCTTCTTATTCAGTGCTTACAGCGGTTTCTTGGTTCGAGTCTTCATGGACTATGGCACCTGCGCGCTGTAAAGCTATGTTTGGCATTAGTACTACAACCACCGCGGCCGGCGGCTGAAAATATGATGGAATTTTAATTCTTTCCCATCTATTTAGTAAAGACTCCACGCCTAGCTTAGGTATGGCCAAAATGGGTATTCTTTAGAGAAAAGGCCCTGGGGTTAGGGTCGTGAAACAAACCAAAACCACCCCGTAGCGTTTCATTAAGGTGGGGACAGGAACAGAAAATGAAAAAAAATTAAAATAAAAATAAAAAATTTTGAAAAAGATTACCCTACTGACCCTTCAATGTTTACTCGCTCTATAAAGTTGAGAAGTAGATAACTATTCTGAGGGCTTGGGAGAACGAGGAAAATCATTCAAGATTGTCAGTATCATCCGTGTCACTTGTGTTAGTGACTCGAATGCTTGTGGAAGACTGTGACTTCCAAACAGGAAGTCTACATACGTTTGTGATTTTAACACCTGGGTTACAGGAGGAAAATTTGACGTGGTGTCTTTTGCTAATTTGTGGAGTATTCGAATGGCTAAATATGGGAAACATTTAACGCTGAAGGTTATCGTTTTTAATTTAAAGTCGCGTAGTGGACTAATGGAGGATTTTCGAAATTAATTCGCTGATAAACTTGATCGTGTTTATGGACGACGAATTGTCTATACTTTTTTCGACGTCCCATGAGCTGACTTTCACCATGTGGTTTAAATTGAGCTATTCGTCTAAGAGCTATGACGAGTGTGTGAGGAAATTCTGGTTTTAGTGGTAGTCGTACGACGTGCCGAAAATTACCTGATCTAGTAGTTGGTGGGTTGTAAGACATTTGGGAGAAAGTTCTTTAAACTCCCAAAATTTTCTCAGTTATGATTTGGGGTATTCGTTTGAGATTTCCTCAACTTGAATTGTCCTGGTGGTAAGTGGTTCTGGTGATATAAGATCGCTGCTTAATAGAGTGTCTATTTGAGCAGGGGTGGTGAAGTAGAGATCTGCTAGTTTAAGTACGAAACCTTTTCCCAAACTTTGTTATTTATATGATAGCTAGCTTGTAAGCATAATTGTTAGTTGGCGGAAAAACAATATCTTCTGTTTGAATGCGCTGATCCGCTTGAGACGAAATTAGGCTTATGCGGTAGATTTTATTAAAGTTTTGAACTGGACATCCGTCCAGTTGGCTAATTTTGTTGGCAGGTTTAAACGATAAAGACGACTGCTGTGGGTAGTAGTACCCGCCTTTGATTTTCGCTGTATATGATTTAAGTTTTTAATGCCTTTAGGCGGCATAGTGCTACATGCAAATTTTCGGGACTTTGTGTTTCAGGATTTGCTGTTGCAATTAATCTCATAGTTCCATTAACATTAGCGTTAATATAAAGTGACTTGGAGAAATTTGTAATGTGAAGCAATTATGTCGTGTATGGCAATACACGCAATTAAGTTTGCTTTCGCAATCTTAAGCGCATGCGCAGTTAACAAGCAGTCGGTACAAAGTCTTTTCATTCTAATGAAATTGTTTGGGTCGCTAAAGTTTTTATTTTCTCGCAAGATTTCAGCTCCTTTACACAGTCCGCATGACGTTTGTTCATAATGTTCGGCTGTGAAAGATTGATTTAAAAATAAATATAGTTTAAAAAAACTAAAAATCACGCTTTTAAAGCATATAAACTAAAAAGTGAAAAATAATTCTTTGTATAAACTAACAATAATAATGAAGGAAAAATTCCTTGTAAAAATAGCGTGGAATGCTCGATATATAAAACATATGTCCGGCAGCAGACAGTCGAGAGCCAAGATAAATTACTGCATGATCTACTGTGCAACCTTGAATCCTATGAAGGGTTGACGCCCAACTCAGTATGCTATTCAAATGTCGCCAAAACTTATACAGATGTTGCATACATTTAAGCGCATCTTTTTGGTGAGCTGCTTAAACTTACTATCAAATATTCTAAGTTTCAGTACCACTTAAAAGAGTTAGAAACATACATACAAGTGACGCTAACAAAAGCGTATTAAAACTCTTTATTTAAATTGTAGTTGATACTAGCTTGGGGTCTATTGCAGCTTCTATTGAGGTTGTTTAAGACGTTTTTCGTTCTGACCAAGTGTTTATTTACTTTTTTGGCAATTTTATAAACGGTAGTAAAATGTTCTCTCACTTGCATTTGCATTGTTTGCATTGCATTTTCTTCACGATGAGAGCGATTTCTCCCACTAAAGTAAGGATTTTTCTGATAATGCTGCTGTGCATAAATGTATTTCCCAGAAAGGGTTCAATTGTTTATGGAAATGTTTTGTGTTGATAGAACCGGCAACAATTGGAAAGTTGTTCATAACCTCAATGAAATATTTCTGTGTCACATGCGGGCATCTTGAAATAGATCCCTAAATCCGCCTCTTGTCTTTGAATTTGTCTGAGCTTTTTTTCGGAAGTGAAGTAGGTGCTATTGTTTTTATTAGCTCTAATTTATCAGAGATCATAGCCTTTATTTCTCCATACTGGTCTAAGTAGTTTTCATACTTGGCGTAAGCAGGGTATTTCAAATATTCTGGTAGATCTGAATCGTCGGATTCTACAATTATGTCATTATAAACTTAAAGTCTTGTTATATGAATCTTACTACTATTTATACTAAACAGTGTTTTTACTTATTACTAGTTGATAGTTTGTTTACATATGATATATTGTTGCTTTGTTCTAAATTAAGGTTGTTTTGATATTTTTTCTTTACTCATATATTATAAGATAAGATTATTTATTTATGTATTTATGTATGTATTATGTAAAATAATAATACAATTATTATTACACATTATATATAAGGTCCATTAGC